TTTTTTATTTCATTATTTACTTAAAATCAGCATTATTAAAATTGGGAATTAATTAAGAATATTAATGGAATTTAATCGGTTTGTAAAAGTGTTAACGATATCAATATGAAAAATAATTTTACCACGAGTAATATTTAAGATTTACTAAAATTGTAAAGAGGTACACTTTCTACTATAAGTATATTGGTATTTTACTCAAATATTACATATAATTTTACAATAGGACTAATTTTATAATGAATATTTTTATAAGAATTATAATGAATTTGAAAATTAAGGAAGTAAAAAAAGTTCTATTAGATTGAAATTCACATAAATATATTTAAGCAACTATTTAACTTTCTTTAATGTTAAATTATCATATGTAGTTGTAAGATATAGAACTTGTGATGGATAAGAAGGATTGATGTAAATAAACAATTGTATTTATTTTCTTGTTGTGTAAGATTAAACAATATTAACTGTAAAGGGTAATTTTAAACTATAATGTTCATATATTTAATATTGTTCTTTACCGCACTTTTTAGAACACTTGTAGCATTTGACGGAAGGAATGCAATACAGGAAGTGTCTAATAGAATTTTAAGTCCATTAAGTGGAAGATTAACCGTGCGCTTTCTTGTTGTCAATAATCGACTAGGCCTCTAAAACAATAAATAATAATAATGCAAAATATTGATAAACATATTTAATTTGAATGTAATAGGTTATAAAGATTACTTAGAATTTTACCGGCTATTTCTTGGACTTAAAGAACGAAGTGGTGAATCTCTATATTTCCTACGAGATTCAATTCTAAACTTTTCTCTATCATCACGTCTATCGCGTTCTCTATCTCTTTCTCGTTCACGATCGTTTTCAAAGTCCCTCATATCTCTTTCTTTCCTTTCGCGTCGCATAATTCGCGGACTACGACCGGGACTTGGTGTACGTGATACAGAGGAATGTGAATCAGAACTATGACCTTCATAACGGTGTCTTCGTTCTCTTTGTCTAAAAATGATTAATACATAATGTTGATATAATGCTAGGAGTAAATAAGCGAAATTAGATTATGTATGCAGAAGTATAAACTATATAGAACAGTAACACCATACTTTCTGCGTAACTTCAAGGACATTTCTCGAATTTCATCTTCCCGATCTTGTCGTTGTTGTTCCATTTTTTCAATCCTAAGTTGCTCGGCCTTTTTGTCAGCTTTATCTAAAACATAAATATAATTTTAATATTACGTTAACATGTTAATTAATATTTCAGATAAATTTTACTTACATTGTCTATTCAATAAAGCTTGCATTTTTTTCTTGAGTCGTTCCTGAGGTGTAATTTTCAGTGACTGAAAAATGTAACTCTTAAATGTCTTTTACAAATTATTAGATATATGTAATAATAATAACAAGAACAATGATAACAATAATAATAACGACACAACAATAGTAGT